TTGGGCAGGGGAATATTTGTATTGTATAATTATAAGTGTATAGGACGAAGATATATGTATTTGCATGTGTATATACAATTTTCTCTCGCTTTATACAAACACAAACACAAACATACTTTATACACTTGCGTTTGTATAAAAAACGAGAGAGGCGAGAGAGAGAACGAGAGTGGCGAGCGAGATTCACCAGGAGAGAGGTGAAATAGCAACAATTTGCTATGAGGTACAATTAAATCAAACTATATTTATAGCATTTAATTTGAATTAATAGTTTGCTATTATATACAATTTTCCCTAAGTTAATTCACTAGATATGCATCAAAATATATATACACACTCATTTATTTAATAAAAGCATGAAAATACTATAAATCATATTTTTTTATATTTACCTATATGGCAATATCTAACTGAGTTGGATAAAGTCTTCGAATGTATCGCCCGGACCCTGAGGGAATCAACATATATTCCAAGCTTCTTTCTTAAGCGACTATAGTACTGAAAAATGTTTTTTTTTTTTTATATTTATTCTCTCCAACTTTGGGTGTGCACAAGTAGACACTTAAACTTGAATAAAGTTGAACAAGGAGACACATGAGTCCTATGTGGCATAATATACGTAGGACACAAATTGTCATGTAGGATGCCACGTAGGACGTGTGTTTATTTGTTCAACTTTATACAAGTTTAAGTGTCTACTTGTCCACATCCAAAATTGGAGGGCATAAATATAAAATGCGATCAAGTTAAAGGGCACATTTATGTATTGTGCCTATTTATTAATATACCAGATGATTACCTAACATGTTAACAAAAAAATAAATCCACTTCTGTTGAGTCAACGAATTTATATAACTCCATACAGAGTAAATGGCAAAAGTCTTGTAGCAAAAATATAAAATAATCTTAAACAATATACTAGATGAAGATTAATAATTAGTTGCTAAAATCAACCACTCCCAATAATTGACAAAAAAAAAAAAAAAAAAAACTTGCTGTTATTAGAAGAGCTAGCACGAACTTGTTGTGCAAAATCCAATATATGTCAAATCCTAGGCATAGTGAACCAGCATCAGCCACCAGCTGCGGCTGCAACGACGCGGCGGAGTTTACGTGTACATTATGCTTATTATGTGTGTGTTGTCCATTGTCTATCTTTTGTTATTGTGTTAAGACACCATACAAGATTGTGAAGCATGTCAAATGTGAAGTTTGTCGTTGTGGATCGGGGAAAAATATTCTGCCAGAATACTCTTCTGTTTCAGACATGGATATAATCGATTCTCCGAATAAGCCTGCACGTCGTCATCATAGCAAGAAGAAGATCAAGAAATTGCTTATGTTCAAGAATTGAATGTTGATATTTTTGATGAAAAAAGGTTGCTGTCTTATTGATATGAACACCTTAAATTATTGTTGCATTGATTTTTTATTTATTTTTTTGAAGTAGCAATGTAATGAATTAGAACAAATTATGATTGGAAAGATTTGAATTTGATGGTGAAATGGTTGAATTTCTTTTGGTATTATATTTGATATGAATTTGATTAGATCAGGTCACTTTATTATGTTGGAATTAATTATCAAAAAGTTTAAGAATATTGGTAGATCAATTTTGTTATAAAGTTTAGAAAATATATATATAAAGGATTTTTATTAGGGGAAAAATAATTTGTCAAGAATGGGATTCGAACCCATGCCCTTTCGGACCAGTACCTGAAACTGGCGCCTTAGACCAACTCGGCCATCTTGACATTATTATTATTATACTTATACCATATACTAATATAAACGCTTTTATGTATTGATTTTTATCAAAAGGATAAAATCTATCTTTCTTAAATATTTTGATTTTGGAAATCTGCTAATATTTTGACTTAGTGGATAGCTCCCTATTTCATGCTGAAGCTTTGCCACAATTTAAGTATTAATATATACGAGACGATATGTTAATAACAAAAATATTAGCAATCTGAAAATATAATGGGGAATAATTTCAAATTAATTCCGTTAAAAAGAAGGTAAATTTGGACGTAATCTAGCTTTATTCAAAATGCTATAAATACAAAATTGATTATGGTGATTACTTAAAACCCATTTACTAGAAGTGAAAAACATTTTTAGTTCTCTTATATTAGAATTTATTAGATAAGAAAAATCAGCTTATTAAAGTCAAGATATATGATTTCAACATGGAACTAGTTTAGGCACTAAAGATTGAATTACGAAGGTAAAAATTCATTGATAATATTAAAATTCATTACATTATTTACTTAAACTTTAATTTGTTGCATTAAACATCCTGTAGAATCTCCCCCTGGAGATGTTAAAAGTATGAGGTGCACTTTTTCCCTAGATGACAAATCTATTGGCATTTGATGGCATAGGCCTACCACTCAAGGGTTCCTATAGTGGGTTGGTATAAGTAACAAAAGTTGAGGTTTTCTTACTTGGCTAATGCCCTTATTATATTGTGCCACCACCAACAAGATGTTGTTCACACTTGTCTTGACGCTACATCAAAAATATTTTTTAGTGACAACTAACACTTTTTTAAATTTTCCTAAAGCCTATAGCGACACTGAATTCAATAACAATTGTAACTAATACCGGTAAATGTTTTAGCACTCTTTGTCAGTATATATACTTCAATTTTCTACTGTTTAACACTTCAATTTATGGTGAACGATTACCAATAACATGTTATGAAATTAATTAATTAATGGAAACATTGATGCAAGAATATTGTGTACTAATAATTGCAATTATCATAACCGAAAGCAGGTTGCGCATGGCGCATTTTTTAATAATTGCAATAATTAGAAAAGGCTTATATATATATATTTTTTTAAAAGTAAATTATTTTTTAGTAAATCTGTATGAGGCAAAAATCGTCCCATATACGGTTTGGAGGCTGAGCTCCACCCCAGCAGTAAGAATACGGCATAATTTTCAGTCTTTTTTGGTGTAAATATTTGTAGCAGTAAATTGAACATTCGTGTGAGATTAGTCTTCTCTTCTGAAATGATTGAAGGTTGGGAAAAGGGATTCTTAATGAAGGGTGAAAAGTTAAGTATGAAAAGCGTTTTAACATACCATGCTTATCTTGAAAGCTCAAAGTAGTAACTGACATAGAAATATTTGGGGAAAAAAAAATAGCTTTTGGAAACATTCGCCAAGGCCATTACCAACAACGGAATTATGGTGCAAATGTGGCAATATATTATTATCGACTATAATTCAGGCATCTCATCCCACTACTAAACTTGAATTCGTTGGAGTTACACCTGTTCATTATATAAAAATGTTAACTTTGGGAGGTTACATACGAGTTCAGCTAAATTCAATAACTTTTGATCCATACTTGTATTTATATTATATATGCAACAATCAATTTCAAAATTCAGTTACTACCTGATGTCGCTATTTTAGAATTTAAAACTCATAAAGTTTAAATACTAGCTCCGCCCTTTTGAATATGCATAGATAGAGAAGTAGGTAATAAAATAAGCAGGGCAATATTTGGAGAAGGCACCATGGTTGCACGCGTGTGTTGGTTGAAGCTGAGAATGAACTAGTGACTTTGGATTTTGGATTTGGTGGGACACCATAATCTTAGTAATCATATATAGTTTGAGGTAATTAAACATCATGCTCAACTACTTCAACCAAAGCTTTTTCTTAAATAGTCAAACTTATACCATTGAGTCGATCGAGTATCTTTCAGAAACAATTGACTGTGTACACACCATCTTTTCTAGACTCGACTTGTGATATTACACTGAGTATATTGTTGTACCAATACCTCCTCTATAAATTGAGCCAAGATATGCTAAGCCAACTACAACTCATCCCAAATTTGCTCCTTCTTTTACTTCCATCTAAGCCAATCATTTACTAAGCAAACACTTGAGAATGAAGAGAGAATCAAAACTTGTGCTTGTGACAATCCTAGTGCTGATGCTTCTTGCTGAATCACACATCTCACTTGCTGCAACATGTAGCCCAGTTCAGCTAAGCCCTTGCCTAGGTGCTATCAGATCATCATCACCTCCATCTAAACTCTGCTGCAGCAAAATCAAACAACAAAAGCCTTGTCTTTGCCAATACCTCAAGAACCCAACTCTAAAGAAGTATGTTAACTCTCCTGGTGCCAAGAAAGTCGCTCGCTCTTGCGGCGTTCCATACCCCAGGTGTTAGAAAAAAAACACTAAAATGATCATATACTATATATATTTCATGAATTAATCTATCAGCATTATATCTGTTTTATCTACTTTCTGCCAATTTTAGTACTCTCTGTGACTGACTCTGTCTGCACAAGTTTTATACTAGGTGTTCTACTACAATTTACATAAATAAAGTACTAAAAGTAGTAGTAGTAGTATTTATCTTATCTTGTCCCTGTAATCTTGGCTGCGATTTACTTGGAATGCAGATGTATTATATTATAACTAAGTTGAAAAACTTTTTAAATAGTACTCATATAGTATTGGATTGACAATGAGAATTATAATATCGAAATTATGGCATCGTGTTAGAAATTAAACGTAACATATATACTACTGAAAAAAACTAGGAACACATCATATTGGACTTGACTTGCAACATTTTTTCTGCAAATTATACATATGAGCACTTTGAGATACCTAAAATCCATGTACATTAATTAGGGGACTGGCCGCGTGCAGATCAACAAATCTCTCTGATCTCTGCTTGCCAATAGTCTATGACATTAAACTTTCAATACTCAATTCTTTAATTTTCCAAGCAGTCTATTCTTATTCAAATTAAGGCCTCTTGGGCTAAAATGTATAGTTAAATTGTCAGTTGCAGGTATCAATATCTTATATGCAAACAATGAGCCATATATATATGTATATCAATCAACTATACCTTTACATTGGGCCTGTTTCTCTTTTAATTTAGGTTGATGCTCGATTCTTCCGAATAAAGATACAACAACATACCCATTGAAATCCCACAAAGTCAGGACTGAAAAAGGTTGAAAAGGGTAGAATGTACGCAGACTTACTACTACCTCGTGGAGATAGACAAGTTATTTCTGAAAGACCCTTAATTCAAGTAAGCAACTCTCATCTTGATACTTTGTAAAATGCACAAAGCGCAAATGCTCAAATATAATCTTCAAAACTACACATCAAGGTTTACACGTAACACATTAATTAATCTAAATTTTCGAAGGTTCCTTCAAAAGGGACTGAGTAGATGATTTGATAACGTGTCAACTATAAAATGGTAACTTACACATTCTTCAAAAGTGGAAGACTGATAGTATTGGTCGATGATGATTGTCACATATGTCAGTAATCATTAGTATAAAATTATTGTGTTTATCAAAGATCTTTCCTTAAATTTTATTTAAATTTATAACCTTAACCTCATATGCGATTTACGATGTTAAACAAACAATACTTCCCTCCCCTTTTGAATTAGAAACAAACCCCTTCGATCCAAAAGAATTGAAATCACTTAAATTTACAAAATGACATTACTCTCCCTTGTTTATATAGACAATAAAAATAAATATTGTTACCATACATGTTCACAAGAGTGGTGACGTTACGTTGAGTTTATCTTATAATATTCCCAGTGACTTAATTTATGACTGACACATATGAAATGAATGCAGTGTGGCATATATCACAAATATATTAAAGTATACTGTTCTTTTTGGTATCACATGACAACTGAAAAACTAACAAGTAAAAGTGATATGAAAAATTATTTTCAACATACAAACCGATCTGAACAAGTAAAAATTAAAATTTAGAAATGAAATATGATCGTATCAACTTATATTAATTATCTTATTAAGACTATGACTATCACTAATCAATTTCCAAAAAGAAACTGGAATTAATCAAACTTGATAATAAGACTTACAATAAAGGTCACTCCTTTACTTTATTATCAATCAAACTTGGAACGAAATGTTGATCAACTAAATAAGAAAAGTGAATGTAATATTTAAAATCAATCTGCCTTTTAATTTTTGACATTAATCTATAGGTGAGAGGTAAATGAAATTGCTATGTTACAACATCAGATGCCTTTTTGGTGGTATTTGTATAGCCTACACAAGCAGAGGAGGAAAGCATTTTCATGGTTCTTTGGCACTGAGTCATCAATCAATTTTGGTAGGAATTTACAAGTTAATAACTTAATACACATATATATTTATTTAATTTTTCTAGTACAAATATAAAATTTACGAAAAAATTATTGTATTCATCCGAACCAATGAACTGCACCGAGCTCCGCACACAAGAATATTTAATTTCTTGATCAACAACTTAGACAAATTTAGAAGCAAACGCATGTGCCTAGTGAACTACCCAATTGTTTTTTTCTAACATTTTTTTATTATTATAAGGAATAAACTACAAAGTATTTTAGTTTAATCAACTGGGAGAGATAGTAGTGATAAATAAGTAATAAGGGCAATGCATTAATCTCACATAAAATGTTTTGTTATTTTCGAACTCACATAAAATGTATACTTCCCTATTCTATGTAGAGCTGTCAATATGGGCTAGGCCTGTTGGGCCGGCCTGGCCTAACCCGAGATTTAATAGGGCTGGGCTAAAATTTTTGGAGCCCATTTAAAAAAAGGGCTTTTTAGCCCCGCCTGAATAAGCCTGCTGATTTGTGGGGCTTGAGAAATATAGGTAGGGCCGGCCCGTGGGCTAATACAAATTAATTAAAAAATATAATATAATATTAAAATTTAAAATTAAAGAGATCCAAACTCAAAATCTATTTAAAGTTTTTTAGGAAATCACTAAGTATAGAAGTTGCATCCACCATGAAAATGTCCAAACACTTGTTGCTAC